AAGGGAGGAAAAGGAGTGGGAAGAGGGAAGGCAGGAGGGAGGGAGGGAGGAGAGAAGGGGGGGAGTGAGGAGGGAGAGGGACATGAGGGGGTGGGCCTGGGCGTGACACTCCACTTTCCCGAAACGCTTCGTTATCTCCTGTCAGTGTCGGGAAAGGCGGCTGAAGGTCCTGGCTTTTTCTGCCACCAAGAATCCTGGTTCCTTCTCACCTTGAAGCATGAAGCGAGGAGAACGGCTCGTGGGGCTGAGCTGGCCGTGGGGATGTTACACAACCTAACGTGCTGCCAATGTTTTTATATAATCTTCTGGTTCTCCCCATAAAACAGACCATAACACCCTGGCAAATACACTTCAATAAAGCCGTGTGCTATTACTGGGGCACACCGCCTTCCCGGAGATGAATCACCACGCGGACGGTCAAGTGGCTGTTGAACTAAAGTTTTCTCTCCTTGAGGCTTCACCTGAATGGGAGAGACCGGAAGGACCACAGAGACTCTGGAAGGACCAAAGTACCTCCAAAGGAAAACCAGGAGTTCAGAGTGGGGAGAAAGTGCCTGGGAAGTCAGCAGATGCTCTGGTCTCCCAGAGTGGCAGGCAAGGCTGCAGGTGACTCCCACAGCTGCGCGTCACCAGCCTCGGGCTCAGAATCACCGCTCAGAGGCCAGCTGGACCTCAGAAGGAACCCCAGAGACGACCCCCACATCGGACTGGGGGATGTGCAGAACAAGCCCCACCCATGCAAGCTGGCTCCCTGACACCTCCTTCTGGAGACTGTTACTGACACTTCCTGGGGGCGCTGCTGTGGCTGTCAGTGCAGAAGCCAGAATCGCATGGGACAGAAGGGGAAGGCCACTAATGAGAACCCAGACTTCCCTCCTTCCTCCCTGAACCTCAGCCAAGTGAGGCAGGGGAGCAGCACCGACTTATTCTGCTCCATTGCAGCCCATAGTGGGAAAGCACTCTTCCTCCCACAGCTGTGCATCGGCCCTGACCCTCCTTGACTCCGACCCTGACTCTCAGGGTGACCCGCACCTGCTGGGGGTGAAACAAGGAGCCCACCCCTGGGAGCTGGGCTTCCTGTAGAAGCTTCCAAGGACGCCAGGCTCCCAGGCACATGGTCCATCTAAGTAATTAACACTGCCAAGCCCCTGCTAGGCCCTTGACGCTATCTGTCTACGAGTCGGAGGCTCACGCCTCATGCTTGGCCCACAACAACACTTTGTGTAGGGAGCCCTGAGCATCCCTAGGTCGGGAGGTTGAACAGGGCCAATGGATGGGGGACACCTTTCTCCACCAACATTTAAAGAACAGCTCTGAAGGGCAGAACTACCATTCCACCTGTCCCCACTTCTTCACCAAGGAGGTGGACGGGGTCCAGGCTAAGCCATGATGCATGCAGCTCCTGGACACACACACACACACACAGAGTGCAGCAAGCCGCCTCACTCTTGGACCTGGGCACTGTCTGCTCTTAAAGCAGGTCTTACAACCTCTAGAAGTTTTCTCAAGTCCCCTCCCCCAGGGAACAAGATGGAGTCCCCTCATGTGTGCTGGTAGGTTGGCGTCCTCAGGTATCCACTGGGCAAGGGAATGAATGAGTGGTCACCCAGGCCAACGCCCTCTTATGCCCGGAGCCCTCAAAAAGCCCTTCTCTTCCTTATGCGCCTTCTCCCCGATTTACTCCCGAAGCAATGGGAGTTCCATCCCAGCCCTGGCTGGCCTTCAGGCCCCTGGGGTCAGCGCAGGTTCCAGCGGCTGGGTCACAGCGCAGTGTCCCAAGCACCGGGACAGTTCTCCTCCCTCCACAGCTCTCTGCCCAGCGCCTTTGTCCCAAGCAGGGCGCTGGGCCGGCTCACCATTCAGTTGGTTGTAGACTACCTCCTCCAGGTGGTCCAGGCGCTGCAGGATGGCTTCGCG